TTCAAAGGTTCTAGCCTCCATTGGGTTCTCGGCCCCGGTGTTCCATGAAGCACATGTAAAGCAGTACGAGTACCAGCTTTTGAGACCATTGTGCACAAAGGCAATTGTGGGTATAAGCTGCGCCAAATGCTAGCACTCCTATAGAAGGGCCATTTCATCTCATTTTGGGGGCGGCTGAAGAAATTCAAGCGCAACAGAAGATCGTGAGCAGACAAGTACAAATCATACTGTTATGTATTTTCGTATCTACATGTGTAGTCGCGCAACCCATACATATATATATATATATGTGAAAAATATGTATATACATATATATATATAGCTAATGTTACATACGTATATGGATATATCTATATACATAAATACATACATATACACACACATAGGTGCGTAATTTAGGTCCAGAAGATCAGAAAATTAGACACACACACACACACTCACTCTCTAATCGCCATGACTTTGATACAACCCCCCGTCCCGCGAGCAGGTATTGATCAGTCATTCGATCGTCCTTCTTTCAAGAAACCGTCACAGTCCTCCGAGTTCAAAGGCCTCCTCAACAAATCCTAATTAGCATGTATGCTGTGTAGTTGCAGGAGCATGAAACCTTGGGAATCTTCATGAGCGACTCACACAGCCTTCGCTATGTGCGGTGACCGGGCCACATGATTAAGGGCTTAGGGCTTGCTTCGCCATAGCTGAAGAGATCTGAACAGGTTCGGAGGTTGGTGCGCCATTCTAATCAAGACAACCGGTTTGCCTGTGTGTGTGTGTACATATATACACATGTTTGCCTATCTCTCTCTCTCTCTCTCTCTCTGCACACATTTGTATCTATATATATTTATCGATAGATGTGTGGGGCTCAATATTCTGGAACAAGAGCCTGCGTTGACACGAAGTCCATCTTACATAGACTGTGGGATTTAAGGTCTCTTGCAGTTGGAAGGCTTTGCAATCCTTACGTGGTGTCTAAGAGAAGAAAGAGGTCAGAGCTTGGTGCAGAGGGCAAGATGCGTTGCCCTCCGTTTTGCGACTTTGAAGCTTCTTCAAACTCCCTAGTTTCTCAAGCTAGGTCCTGAAGTACCCGCTCCACAAGGAGCACGGATGAGGCCCCAAAACCCATTAGGCTCCTCGACCGCGTTGATTCCCTATACCCCTCAACCTTGAATCCTGATCCCAGGCGAGAAGATTCCCTGCTGGCGTGCGTCGGTAGTCATGTTCGCGAGTTACCCCCGGGGTGGGAGGCAGCTTTCCACAGCATGTCAGCTTTTGTAGAGGATTTTAGAGATGATGTGGGGTAGTATTCAAATAATGGCGCATTCTGTAGACTTGCCAGCCGAAAGCATATCAAATTCTTTTCACATCAGGGTAGTACCTACCGAAATACTACACATAGCCTTCCCCAGGGACATGGCGCTTTACCTGACATGAGAAATGAACAAGACCTATTTCAAGGGTCGCCTTGAATTCCCGGTTCCTCAAACACAGACCCCCGAGCCCAAAGTCGCGGTTAGGCGTTTTCGGGATCTCCGATACTGAGCATGGCCCATGGCAGTTTCCCAAAATAGGGGGACGCGAATATAGACCCAGTATAGACCATTACAGGGACCCCCAAACTACCCCTACTGTTGATTTTGGGAAACCCGCATGTGTGAAGCTCTGAGGCTTTTACCGAGACCTGTTCTGCTTTAGAGCCATAAACCCTGGGAGAGGCTCGCGCCGGAAAGCCGCCCCACATCGCCCCAGTAGGGTCCCGAGTGGGCAGAGTCTGCGAAAGCCTCGAGGCAGCAAACCGTGCTTCCTTAGGGTTAGGCTACGGGGCTCCTAAGCTTCAGGATATATAGAATGTCTGTTGTCCAGGTCCCCTGCATAAAGAACAAGCTCTACTTCAAGATTTGAAGTTATGAGATGCGCGAATTTGTTCACCAAATGCAGTCGGACAGCAAGTAGTCTTTGAGGCGGTACCTTCAGGGCTCAGCTATCTAATCAGTTCTCGTGTACAGGCAAGGGCCCAATTCTGAGACATACCTGTCGTGCTGCAGGATTGGAGTTCATGAAAGTCATGCTTCTGGCGGCTGTTCTTGTCGGTGTTTTTTGAGGTGGTGGTAGTGGTTGTGGCGGCTATGGAGGTGATCCGGCGGTAGGGGGGATTTCTGCAGGCAACGATGGCGGGGTGGCGGTGGCAGGGTCAAGTAACCTGCTGGTTTGCTGACCTGCACATGAACGTAGGTTCGTCGAATGTCAGGTATGATATGTGATTGAGGATTCGCTTCTTGATGATATGGGTCGGTTAGATAATTCACAGAAGCGGGACAGGTCAACAGAAGCTTTGCGCCTTTGGAGTCCCAACATTTTAAAGACTCGAGCGTCAGGAGGCGTGGGGTGCTCACCTGGAGCAGATCTACCACAAGGCATTGCAACCTGCTGCTTGTGGAACTTGCCTTAAATCATCCAAGATGCCAATGTTGATGACGATCTGTACCCTAGTTCTTAGCTTGGTCGGCTCACGGATCCCTCGTTGGTCTGCGTGGGGCGGCCGTGCTTCTTCAACATTCATGTACCCTGCAGACGGACCATGTTGCTTATTTTGCTGAACTGTGAGGAAAGCACAGTAGCAGCTGCGCTACCTTCCTCACATGATTACTGCACGTGGCGCCTCCACCAGACTGTTTCTGGCCACAACAGTTCGTATGTGCGCCCATTATTCGACAAGATGCTGCTCATTCGGCCTTGCAGGTTCAACGACGGCAGGAAGCCAAGTTTTTGCAAGCACCTTGTTGCAGCATCTGCATGTTTAAGACCTGGTGGGATCACGAGCCTCATGATTAATGGTGGACAAGCGCTACACTTGCTTTGTCTACATCCAGTCTCACACCCCGAGTCATAACATATTCAGCTTTTGAGCCATTGGGTTAGTAATCGTCCATCTCAGTGGCAGGGCATGGTCTAGAGCAGAATGGGAGGAAGCTGTGGGAATTGGCTACTCTTCCTTAGCTCCTTTTCCTACGAAACCTCTGAACACCTTCAAGCCCAAACCCTGAATCCTCATCTTGTGCTACACCCTGGGCCTTCACCCTCGGCCTCTGGGAAGTTGTACTGACAGCCATGGGATTACTACCGCGTTGCCTCAGGCCTGAGATCCCGCCCATGCAGCTCAAAGGCCACTGCTGGCTGTTAAGATCATTTGGGGATAGTATGGTACCCAATAATATAGGGTTTAGGGCCCTATAATGGAGAATCAAATGAAAACGAAAATGGAAAATGAATATGGAAACTGGGGTTCTATAGTGGTTATATTATTTTTTTCTACTACAACTGTTATTATTACTATAACTACTAATTACTCCTATTGCTACTACTACATCGGGAATAAGCAGGGTGGTGTGTGCGGCTGCTGTGGTGTCTGGCTGTTAGGGTAGAATGTCCTGATGAGAGCATGTGATCACAGTTTTTCTTTTTTGCAGGTGAAAATCTGGAAGCTCTAGTTATGTATGGGGATCATGAAGAGGCTGCCAGGGTGCCTCTTAAGTATCACTAAGGGTGATATTCAGAAATGCTCGTGTGTGGGTCTGTCAGTTCTGGATAGGACATGATGCGGTGCCTAGACTTTCCATGGTCACGAGAAAGGGAGATGGTCTTACATGCGCGACTAGGCTATTAATGTCCATTCCCCCCACTGATGACCCCAGGGAGCCCTGAAGGGAGACACCTAAACTTTAAACTACCTTCAAACGCAAGAGAATCCAACCCTACCCGCTTCTGAAATAAAACTCTGAACCTTAAACCCTCTAGTAGTTTCCATTTTCTTTTCCATTATGCCTATATTAACCCCAATGACTATAGTAGTTGCCATTATCCCCCCAAAAGCGCTATAATACTATAGTAGTTTCATGTAGTTTCCATTTTTCATGTTTCCTATATAACCCCTATACAACCATCCTATGAACTGAGGCGTCTCATCTGAAGCCCAGATCCGCAGATCCGATATCCGAAACCCAGGGTCTGGGATTAGGTCTAGGGTTTAGGGCTTAGGGGTTTAAGGTTTAGGAGTAAGTACCCATTGGGTAATATTAGGGTTATATGGAAAAGAAAATTGAAACTACAGGGATGATAGGGATTATATAGGGGTATAATATGGTATAATATTGGGGTTTATATATTGGGATAATGGAAAGTAAATGGAAACTACTATAGTATATATTTAGGGATATGGGGTCTATATTGGGGATACATTGGGATAATGGGAAGGAAAGTGGCAACTACTGTTTAAGGTTTACGGGTTGAGGGTTTTGGGTCTGGCAATCATCTGGGTTGGGGTGTCTCTAGGCCTACCAAACCCGAACCCTGAATCCCAAACCTGAGAAAGCAAAACTGCTTGTAGGCAGTCCTTCTTCCCCTCAGCCGGTCCCTGTTGTGCGGAGCCAAGGATCCTGGCTAATGTAGGTTCTGTGCAGTTCTTGTTTAGGACTATGTAGGGACCTGAAGATACGAGCCAGAAACTTAGCCTTTGGGGTGAAGTCTCCACTTGCAATGGCAAACATGTGGAACGGCATTAGGGTGCTGTGAGCCAACTCGTTGTCTCCTTCTGCCTGACTGACTCTGAAAGGGAGAGGTGCCTGGCAGAAGCTTTGTTGCAGCCATGCAGGCATGAGCCAGGGCTTTGCGAGATCGAATGTTCAGCATATCATATAGGGATACTAGCAATCATAACAACTATACCAGATTGAAATACAGGACGTCCTCCAGGAAGTTGCAGGGCTCACTAGGTTGCCGCGCGCAAGAAAGAATTCAAGATGTCAGAGACAGCCGTTCGGAAGCCATCGTGACCAAGTGCAACCAATACTACTTGCTGGTTCTCGGTAGAAGGAATACAAGAAAATATTATAAGAACATACTATATTATCTGGTGATATTCCCGTATTCAGTATCCCCTACCAAGCACCAGAAAGCCTATGTTATCTGCCTATCATCTAAGGGGTCCAGGCTCGCGAAAAGCCATGGTAAGGTGCGTGCCTTTCCTCGGCCTCCTGGCCTTCTGGGTCTTTTTGCGAGGTTTCTGCTTCTCCCCCGTTTCCCTTCCCTCCGTCCAGCGTTACCTGACCTGCAGAGCTGCACAGCCCGACGAAACTACCGCGGCCCCCCCCGGCGGGTGCCTTCCGAATGGCGAGCTCCGGGAGACCTATGAGCCAGATACCTCTCTCGATGCGCGAGAGGGCACCTCATTCACATGTTGGCAATGCATTTGTGGTTTTGCAGTGGTTGTGTTCAAGTTTAGTGGAGAGGGCAGGGAATCAGACACATGTGGCGATTCTGCAACCGTTAGGTAGACTGGAGATCTTCCCTTCGCCTATTTACCGGCGCAAGATCAAGCCCAGTAATGAAGACGTGCATGCCCTGAATGATGAAATCACGACAAACTTCCGACGGCTGATGGCACGGGATGATAAGGGCATCGAGTATTCTCAGACGCATTATGCAGGTGGCTACACCTCGTACTTCAGCCTCCCGGCACTCCAGAGGTGGGTACCGCCAATAAAAACTTTGGAGCAGTGGCTCCAGCCTCATATCCGGGAGTTCATACAGCAAGCTGGCTTGCAAGATGGACCTGAGCTTTTCATGACGGACTGCTGGGCAAACGTTATGGGCGATGGCACAGAGCACGTGTTCCATCAGCATAAGAAGTCTACTATCAGTGGCACTTACTATGTGCAGACCCCCCGAGGCTGTTCGGGCCTCTTATTTGAAGATCCTCGTCTTGACAGAACTGTTGCAAAGCAATCACGGCGCGTGGTTGAATTCCCGGCCATTGCTGGCTTCGTGATTCTCTTTGAAAGTTGGCAGCGGCATAAAGTTCCACCGAACTGCGGGGAGGGAGAGCGCATCTTGGGGTTGCACAGCATGGTTCTTACAAATTGCTTTTTCAGATTTCATCAGTCACTGTATGAGTTATGCCTCACAAGTTGATGTCAGAATCTCCTATTGGGCACTGTAGGGCTCAGCGTTGGCAGTGGCAATCCCACAGCACCACAAACATAACCTCCCAGCCAACTTTGCGCTTTTTTGTGGAAGATCGAGGCATCAGCGTCAGTTTCAACTACCACTGGCGGTACGAGGAGCCGACCAAGATCCCTTTGGAGTAGGAGTTGACCCACGAAAGCCCAGGCGCACCCTTCAGCCAATCCGCTGTTCTCATGCATGCAAACCTCTTGGCGGGCATGAGCTTGAGCTTGCACAAAAAGGTGTCCAGATTGTGTTTGGCGATGAAGACGGGGGCAAGCACAGCAAATGGGTGGAATGCAAACAGACGCTTAAATTCTCTGCTTTCATTTCATGTTTCAATAGGTTTCGGTCTTGAATCACTCCCTAAACCCTATAGATCCCAATACACCCCATTGGGTCACCACATCTGAGAGCCACCTGAAACATCCTGAAATTCATCCGTGACCTGGAGAGACTGGACTGCAGGTCCTCCAGTATAGGGTGACCATAATACCCTCTGGCGGTCCCAGGTTCAGTGTCAGGAGCATTATTAATTTCCTCACAAAAAAAAGGGATATCATTTGGGGCTTAACAAACGCCGAGGACGCTCATAGCTTTCCCTCAGCTTGCTGTTTGAGACTGAGGCAGATCAATTTTAGCGGAGCTCGCAGAATCGGGGAAGCCCTATACAGGCTTATACCTTGCCCTGTCCTGGGTCCACAGGGTTCTGTCCATCCGCAAATGCTTACAAAGTCTGATACCCAAAGAATGAGCGCATCTGGAACCCAGGCCTTCTGGTTTGCTGCTGAAGGTTAGAAGTTTGTACTTTCGCCCTTGGGAGTGAGGGTGTGAAGTTTGTTTGGCACATGAGATCATGTAAGGTTAGGTCTTCAAGCCTTTGGTGTCAAAGTTTCCCGGTTGAGGCGTTTTAGATCTGTAGCGTGTGTGGGATGTCTCTAATCTGAGATGGTGTGGGATCAGCGCCTGTCGGAGAATAGCGGTAGAAGAGCTGCTTTGGGTATTTAAAGCCTGCCTGATGCCCAGTAGGGTGGATCCCTTCAATGTAATGAAGCATTAATGGTCCCTCTTGTATTAAACCCGTTTATCATCGCAAGAAAGAGATACTATTGCATCCTGACAACGGCTATTCAATTCCGAAGTGAGAAACCTAAGGAAGAGACCATCAGGCATTGTGCTGTATAGCTGGAAGCTCCCAGGTGAGCTATAGTCCAAACTCCTTATAAAGGGGGCTATATGGGGGATTCTATAGGGGAGTATTACAGGGCTTATTTAGGGGGATACTTGGAGTTTAGACTTTAGCTCAGGTGAAGTCGACGACGAGCAATGGTGTGCACTTCCAGGCCCAAGCAGCGAAGGGCTACTAATTCCCAAGATTTAGTGTGTAGGGTGCCAGGGATCCAAAGGGTCAAATGTAGTTAAATGTTTACAGACTCGAGGGCCCAATGTAGTTCTTATTTGTACACTTTAATCCCCAGGGCTCTGAATGCATGGGAAGACTCGTGTCAACGACCTGGCATAGCAGTAGAATAGCTTCCACTGCAACAGGATCCTGAACACGCAGTACTCGCAGGTCTTAGCAGGAACTATTGTTCGTCTAGCACTTGGGAGGGTCCACAACCAGCAAATATCTTGAAAGGGGTCTTTCTGCTCAATCTGGATGGCATTGCATGGCATTGCGCAGTGGATTTTCAAGTTTGCAAGGTTATGGAGCATTCTTGAGGACCCCAATACGTTGGACCTGCTTTATCCAACTTGCATTGGAATTTGTTGAATGCGGCTCTACATACCGGATCCACACATTTCATGTAAGCAAACTCCAGCATGCCGCAACGAGGTGCAGCCTGAAATCGTGCCGATTGATGCCCTGGGCCCTAGAACGGAGCTTCATGTTGCGGTTTTAAGATTCAAGGCTTGTGTCTAAGACTAGGGTGTTGTCAACTGTTGAATAGCCCACTTCTTACTAGCAATCTCGCAGCTTAACAGACACCAAATAGCTGATGCCGACCAACAATAACAAGGCATCTGAGGGCAAAAGCAAAAACAACAGCCTCCAGCGTAAGCAGCCTATGTAAGGCTGCCTGGCGGTCTGATGCTATAAGCACTATTGGCTAACTACCTTGGGGCCGGACGTCTTATGTACCAGGTTGTCTTCTGTTTGAAGGGCTCGCAGCTAAGGCATGGCCAATGAAACTGAGACAGCCCCGGAAAGATCTCAGTTGGCTACGTGCGGCTTCAGGGAGTACGCACTAAGTCATGCAGGCAAGCCGCCGATCGTATAAGCAGAATACTTGCGTCTAAGAAGCCACATGAGCTGTAGCCTAACTCCTCAAGGGGGTTATGTAGGAGATTAGATAGGGGACTACTATAGGGGCTATTAGGGGGGATACTAACTAGTACAGGGGTTATTAAGGGGGATACTAACTAGGAGGCTTAGACTATGGCTCACCTGAGAGAATTGTTCTGGAGATGGCTTCAGGCTCTGCATGCCGGGGTCGCGATGCTTGATCGCGAGCAGCTGATCCTCAGGCGGTGGGGATGGTTTGTTATCTAACCCCTATATAACCCGATAGAATCCTATATGACCCTGTAGAACCGAACCGGTCCTCTGATAGTCCTATTATACCACTATCGCAGGGGAGGGTCCTCCTAGATAATAGTCCATAAAGATATAGGTAAGTTTGTGTTTCTCAGAATGTTTTGGTTTGCTGCCCCCAAAATTCCAGCGTTGTGAGTCTGCGCATATGGGCTTTGAGATCTTCAAGCAGGAATCAGTGCCTCGCAAGCGTCTGCCCTTGCTGTCCGCATACGTGGGGGTTGGGGGGCGCCTCGAAGAGGGGAGGGGCTGAAAGCCCAGTGGCCTACATTTCTCAGGTAAAGCCTTGAAGTGAGCATTGTTCAACCTGTCTTCAATCCATGTCCTTCTTTTGATAACGCTCTCGTGAACTGCTCTTATTACGGCATCATAACTTTTGAGGCCCATGTTCATGACTTTCTCTTGGCCTGAACCCTCAAACCATCAATGCTAATCCCAAAACTGTCCCTAAACCTGTGCACCGACCTTAAGCCCCAAATCCAAAGTCTAGGACTGCAAAAAAAGTAATCCCCAAATGGGAATAATACCTTAGTCTAAGTCTCTCGCCAGGCTTCGGGACGCCGAGAACCGCATTCAGGCAAAAGCACCGATGCATGAATAGCCTTTGGAACTTGGGGCTTAGGTTGCGCGGCTCAGGCTTAGCGGCTTTTTTGAAATTATCAGGGCCTCAATTTTCGGAGGTGTTTTGCTGTCTTTTGGCGTCTGCGTTGTTTCTGCAGGTTGGCTTCTCCAGCCGCCATCTTTCATTGTTAGCATTTACTAATTAACACGTATTTATGTTTTCCTTGGAGAACGGAGAACGTCCACTACGCGATAGTTTGGTAGAAGACTAGTGTCAGCAGCAATCGAAGGAGAAGCATGAACAGTAGTGACAGTAGCGGGGTAAAGGTCAACATCTCACAGTGGCAAGAACCTACCGTTGCCAGCACGTGCAGTAATTTTCCTGCAGATCAAGCTTCGAAAGATGACGTAATCAGAAGGCTTAACCTTCACTTTGAACGTCTCAAGGGGTCTCTCGCCACAACTTCAGGGTGACCTGGAGACCTTCTTCGAACATCCATCTGTCTGGTAACCTTCAAGATGCACGCTGTTCTCTCAATTTGAGGATGTATGAATCTGGGGACCTCAGACTTCAGAAATATGTACTGATGATTTCCCAAGGTACTCACTAATGCACGAATGGGGGAAAGGCTCCACTACAGTGACTATATATGGATTACCATAGGGATCAACCCCCCTTCCAACCAACGCAGGCGTAAACAACTCCACAATTTCTTGTGGCCAGGAGCTGCAGAATCAGCTCCGCGAGGCTCTTGCGGGCTTGGGGCTTGAGGAAGTTGGGTCTCAGGAATAAAGGTCTGTGGGGTTTAAGGTCTGGATGCAGTGTAGCGTTGAGATTGGGTTTGGGGCTTAGGGCTTGAGGTTTTGGGGGAGTGATCTAGGAGATTTGCCATTTGTCCTTGGGTCTTGCTGTCAAATCCAAGCCAGAACGGCGGATTGTAGGCACGGCTTACAGGGAGGCTAGAATTTAGGAGTTTCTTGAGGGCTTGCCGGGTCTCAGGCTAGATGATTGGAGGGCGCGTGCAAAGACGGGGCCGCAGGACGCTGGGGCCCACGCCCAGCGCCTGAGTTCTTGCAATCCACAGACTGGAAAGTAGTTAATCGGGATAGCTCACCCTGTCATCCAGGCACTTCCAAAGCTAAGTTGCTTCAGTATTTGTACCCCCGAAAACTACGTACTGCTCAGGGGCGACAAGGGGTACCCGCAAGAGAAGAATAGCCCAAGTGATTCCGGTCCAGGAGAGGGAGATAGCGCATCGCCGACTAGAAGAGGCATCCTTGCAGCACGCTGCAGCGGCGGGAGTTTGTCTTGCACGGGAGTTTTCAATTTGGGCTTTAAACTCTACAATCTAGAGAATCTAGTGTATCCATAAATCGGAGTCCCCAGTATGATCCGTGCCTCCCGGTGTTTTCTCTCTGCGGTCCTTATAAAATCGGGGTTCTTTGATTCGGGGTATCAATAGAACGGAGCGTGATTCTGACTTTGACAAGCGCGTGTCGTCATTTGCCAGCATTTTGCTGCCATGATGAAGGTGGCTGGTGTTGGCGCTAATTACTGTAAGCCATGGGCCAGTCGTAGCTACTTACGAAGCGCCCTGTACCTCTTAGTCGTAGGCTTTTTGCTCTGGGCTTCTTTTGCAGTTTTTCCTTGCGGGATGCACATCCCAAACACAAATCTCAAGCCCAAAACCTGAAGCTAGATTCCTGGATCGCCAAGCATCTGAGCAAACGACTCCTTGGATAACTTAAAGTGATGGGATGTGTTTTTTGCGCTCCAGTCTTGGCTTTCCAGCTTTGTTCCCATAGCCAATAATAGTGTCCAGGACGAGCAGCCTGGTGTAGAAAAGACCAGAGTCAAAGGGGTTTGAACTTGCAGCACCGGCAAATCAAACCCACACCTCAGATCCCCCGCTAAGCCCTCCTTGGACTGCATGGAACCCACCGTTTCAAGCTTCAGCGCTATGACCTCTGCTCTTACGGTATATA